GAACAGTTCGGCAAAGCTGGGGAAAACCTCTAATTTTTACGAAAAAAAAAAAAAAAAAAAAAAAAGAAGGTAAAATAAAAATGATTTTATTTCTTTATTTATTTAATATTTATTTACTTATTTATTTATTATTATTTTTTATTTTTTAATTCGGTAACGAATTTCGATTTGACCCTGAGGCAAGAGCTGATTGTTAGGTGACGGGCATGACCCTTGGATCTGGGGATACTGACGTGGACCTGTGTGGATGGAGATTGGCGACTGTGCTGACAGATACCTGGCTCTATCATCTGAGTGAAGGGGTGGTTACCCCTTCCTCCTTTTTGCTGGGAGTGCTGATCAAGAAACGAGGTTTGATTCAATAGCCGTGGAATAACGTCGAAACGTCTTTGCAGTAATTGTAAATCGTTATTACTTAGTTGTTACAGTCGTAGGTCTAACCACATAGAGTATAGGTGATAGGTGACAGTTCATAGTCAGTATAGGTGATACGTGACTAACAATATTGAGTATAAGATCTGGGATTGGTTTGGTTCTGTTCAATATCGCTTGTCGAGTGGGAATAGGGATTGTAATTAGGCTTTAGTTCAGCAGGTTAGGTTTTCTCTAGGCTTTGTTTGCTAGGCGGTGGTGCTGATTTTCAGAAATTTTGTTTTCTGTTTTTTGTACGTTCACTTAGTGCCTGTTTCCGTTCAATACCGCCTGTTGAGTGGGAATAGGGATTGTAATTAGGCTTTAGTTCAGCAGGTTAGGTTTTCTCTAGGTTCTGTTCGCTAGGCGGTGGTGCTGGTTTTCAGAAATTTTGCTTTCTGATTTTGTACGTTCACTTAGGGCCTGCTTGGGTTGGTTCTGGTGAATATCGCTTGTTGAGTGGGAATAGGGAACGGAATAGGGATTGTGATTGGGTTCTCCTTGAGCTTTGTTTTCTGTTTTTTGTGGGCTCAATTACGTCTAATTTTGTGTGTTATGACTTTCCTTTTGGAGTATAGGGTTGTTAATTTCGTTTGGCGTTTAGGGAGGGTATATGACATAGGAGTTTTGGGTTTATGATAGATTAATTAGGATTTGAGTTTTGCTGGACTTTCTTGTTTACTGTGTCTAGTAG